ATTTTCTCCCTGTAAGATTATACTCAGCTTTGTTAGGTAAGTTATTCTTGATTGAAAGCCTTGGTTTTTTGCCTTCTGGAATACCATTATAGTGATGGCTACTATATCCTGACTGTGGCTCCTTGGTACTTAAATTCTTTCTTTCTGGCTGCTTTCATTATTTTTTATTTGACCTAAAAGCTCTGGATTTTGGTTATAATAGTCCTGGGAGTTTTCATTTGAGAATTTCTTTCAGAAGGTGACTGATGGACCCTCCCAGTTTCTACTTTACTCCCTGTTTGCACTAGAATGCTCTACATGGAGTACTCTCCTGGCCAGACCTTGATCCCAGAGTCTGTAGAACTCTCTGACTTTCTCCCTGGGCTGCCCTGGGCTAGAGAAGTGATTCACTGTTATTTTCCCTTGAATTTCCTGGTCAGAATTCAGTCAGGAACATTTTCTAGATCTTTATGGAAGAGTTTTGGTGGGGTTCTTACTGCTACCCAGTCATTTTCCAAGATGGACTTTCTATAGAAGGTAGCATTTGAGCTGAAATTTGAACAAAGCTAGGGATTCTAAGACGGAGGTGAGGGGAGAGTGCATGTGAGGCATGGAGATGGGAGATGAAATGTTGTATATTGCAGCATGTGCAAGACACCTGAAAACATAAGCTAAAGGCAGATTACAAAGGGATTTAAAAGCCAAACCACAGTTTATATTTTATCCTAGAGGCAGTACAGAGTTATTAGAACTTCTTAAACAAGGTAGTAACATGCATGATCAAATTTGCACCTGAATAATGTCAATTCGTAAGCTATGTGGTAGATGGATTAGAGAAGAATAGTCCAATGCAATAATCCAGACAAGAGATGATGAAGACTTGAACTAGGGCAGTGGCTGCATGAGTGAGGAGAAGGTGACAGATATGAGATGTATTATGTACACTATAAAACTTTGGAACTGGTTATATGTGAGGGCTGAGTAGGAGGAAGAAGTCAAGAATGACTGAATTTTCAGAAATAGGTGATTAGAAGTATATACTGCCCTCAACTGAGATATGGAAGTTAGGAAGAGAGGAGGATTTGGGGGTGGGAGTGAAAACAGTTTTATTTTAGACATGTTGAGTTTGATATACAGTCCTCAAATTTTTAGGGGGTAATGTTCCTAGAAAATGGTGTAAGAGTCAAAAACTTGAATGTTGATACATTGAACCTATGGGAAATAGGGAGTAAGGTTCTTGCGACCATGAAAAACTGATCTTTTGCTTTACTTTTCTGTATATTGTTCTTTATAATAAAACATTTATTCTGGTAATGTGTAATTTTCCTAACACAGTAACCATGAAATAACCAATAAAATGCAGAGGAGAGGAGAGGCAATGCTGGATTGGACAGGGCGGGGCAGAGGTGGTCCCTTTTGGCTTTGGGGTTGAAAGGTTCCCCATGAAAAGCACATACCTGAGAATAAGTCCCTGGCCCAGTCAGAGCTTGGAATTCCTGCATGGAGCAATTCAGTCTGTTAAGTGTGCTGTGCTGCTTCACTTCCCTAGGCCCACTGGCCAGAACACTTGGGAGCCTGGTGGGACAGTTAGTGGAGGAGGTGGGATACACTCCGGGAAGCCTGCAAGAGGGTGGGGGTGACTACCGTCTCATTTACCCACAAACTTAGCCACTTTTCCATTTTTTCAATTCCTTCATCCCACACAGGAGAGTTTACTGTAGCACTTTCTGGAACAGATTCGTGAACACTTTTATGACTACTTTCCTTCTTTTTGCAGATATAAACATGTGCACATCTCATCTCTAATTTTTTCTCTACTGTGCATAGCTGAGAATGTGGGCTTGCCAACAAGAAAGTGAAAATGAGGTTACTAATTAAATCATGTGAATGCATGAAATCACAAAAGTTAAATACCTGAATGTTGAGGATTGCCTGTAGCTATAAGACATCTATCCAGTAGGCAGTTGGTAATATAAGAGTGGAGGTCAGAAGAGAAAATGGTATTTAGATCTGGTGATCATCTGCATAGAGGTCATAGTTGTGCCGATGATAGTTGATTAGATTTCTGGGAAAGAGTGTATATAGAAAAGAGGGTCTAGGATAAAGCCTTGGGATATAATAGAATGACCATAATTGAAATTTTACTAGATTAAGGTTCAAGATCTTCCAGAGTTTGCTCCATGATGATCCTGGAAAGCTTGAAGAACCCAGAGTCACCTCCGTTCCATAAGAAGGAATCAGATTAGTACTTTATTTGCTGAAAGTACAATTTATCTTCAACTTGGTGAGTAGATTTTGTGGCTATATACTGAAGTTTGGTGGTAACAATCATTGCACTTTAGGACCATCTTTTAATAAATACCGTTCCATACTCTAATAACTTTTTTTTTAGTACAACACTTTGATGGATTTGTGGTCTCATGGATATGAGTACTCCTTGCAAACATACAATCCATTTACATCTCCTCATCTTGTTTGACTCTTGCCCATGTCCCATGAAACTTCTGTGAGAGATCCAGATCTATCCAAAGGATTATTAACCTTTGTTGTATCACGGATCCCTTTGGCAGTCTGGTCAAGCCTAGACCCCTCAGAATAATGGTTTTAAATGTATTAAAATAAAATACATATGATTGCAAAGAAAATACATTATATTGAAATGCACTTATCAAACATATTTTAAAGTTTACAGACTCCAGATTAAGAACTACTAGAACATGATGTAACAATCAATCTTTTACTCTTCACATGACTAGCCCACCACCTTCTTTTCTGTTTATATATCTCTCTGATGATGTCTTTTATATCACTTATCCCACCTCGTAATTCCTTCATACCATGGTGCAGCCTAATCATACTTATCATGTACCTCATTATTGTCCTTTGGTGACCTGCAACTTTAATTCCTTGAAGACTTTGGTATACTCTGGTTTTTTAGCCATAAACCATCACTGGAAAAATATTAATATATTAAACAAAAATAGATGTGCTTTTATTTTAGGGGAGAAACTTGACATTATTACAAGGACTTTGAAACTTCCCAAATGCAGTCTAGCCCTTTCCAATTCCTATTCGATTTTGTTCCCAGTTCATTGTGTATCTTCAAAGTCTAAGATACACACACACATGCACACATGTGTGTTTACATGTGTATATACACACATGTTTATGCGTGTACACACATATTTATGCATGCACACACACATGTGTGTGTGTGTATACACTGATGGAACAATCTACTTTAGACAGTAGGCCTTCATTACCTTACTTTTCCTAGTATAGATAGTTAAGATGAACTCTTTTGAGATATGGATAAATCATTTACAAGGATCTATAGTGTTGCAGGACTTGATATAACAAACACATGTGATCTTATTACCTCTAGGGAATCCATATTGAAACTACTCTACTCTAAACATTGGTCAGCATGTCTCCATGCTTTGTACCTTGTTTGATATGAAAAATTCTGGTCAGCAAACAAATTATCCCTTTTCATTGAGGCATGATATATGCTTTTAATATATTTATGGGAGAAACCTTGTCAAAGAAGGGCCTTTAAGATTTCAATATTCTTTACCAAATTAAATGCATTTTTAATCGTCCCAAAACCAGTAAAATCTTGTATTCACTATACCTTTCAGTCAATTATGTGATAGTAAAGAGGTGGTCTGCTTAAGAATATTGTTTGTGAAAGTCTGCCTATTTTCTTCTCACATCTTCATTCAAAACCCCTTTATGTATATATGTAATTATGTGTACATGTTTATGTATACATATACATGTCTATACATATCTATAATTCTCAAAATGAATTTTTAGAAATGTGAAAGTAGGCTTTTAGGTTGGCATCATAGTACAGTGGTTACAGAGCTGGTACCCAGAGTTGGTACAGAGTACCCAACTTCTCAGGGTTCCAGGCAACTCTAAGACTATAAATTGCAGAGCAGTTGCCCATCAGCCTTGGTAGAGGGAAATTGTACATAGTGAGTTCTCTCTATCAATAAAATTACAGGTCTAGGGGGAAAATGATAGCGTTAATAATGTAAGCAAGCTAAATTTCTAGGAAGGAAGATGACGTATTACATTTGGGAGGATGTTATTAGAGAAATTTTAAAAAATACTCCGAAAGCTTTAGAAGGAAGTATAGGCATAAGGGGTGTTTATACTGCTTTAAAAGAGTCTTCATTGAATCCTTTACAGCTGCTATGCAATGAAATAACAGACAAAACTTCATATCAATCACAGCAGAAGCACAGATCATAGAGCTATCATAAAAAGTATGTTTTTAAAGGTTCAATTTCCATAGTGATAATATTTCTTTTTCTTTATATAATATTTCACACTATGATAGGCTATCCTTCCTTCTTTCCCACTCTTCCTCTTCCCCTCAGTATAGGTTAGTTTCTTTGCTAAAAGCTAGGGAAACTCTCTCCAAGACTTGATTGGTCTAAGGGGCAGATCAAGCCACCTGGCTTCCTGTTGGCCTTAGGTCTGGCATAATACTGCCTGAGTCATACACATCTTGCCCAGTTAGCTCCTGTTTCCATATGGAGGAAGAGGGGCCAGATCTACCTGAGCTGAGTGCTATATCATTTATGATTGTCCTTTTGATGCTATGGCTAAGTAAACCTCCTTTCATTAACTGTTGACTGACCTACAAGTATCTCATTTTGTTCAAGACCTACACTACCAGAGGACCAATCTGAGTCAGGCTCAGTCTATTATGTAACACCTCAAATGTTGAAAAGCCCTTGTTTTAATGAGACCAGATACCACAATGGGAGGGAATACCTGATTCTGTTTGAAGGATGTGATTGCAAAAAGAATAACATACAGCTTAGAATTCAGCTCACCCATTTTTAGTTGGATAAGCAAAATATAGTTAATAATTTTAGAATTTTTTCCTTGGGTTTTTAATCTTGAAATTTTCCTTAAAACAAAAAAAATAGGATTATGGGCCAAGCAATAAATGTTATACAGAAACAACAATATAAATTAAAAGAACAAATTGAATCCAAAAATGAGGGGGAAAAGACACCTTTTTATCCTTTAACAACAGTGTTTTCAAACTTTTGAAATTACTGATACAAATAGAGTTTAGTTTCAGATATTAATGATTGCTATTTATTGGCAGAAGTTTTATCTGTAATAGAAATCAATTTGTGACATATAAACTTTTGACCTCTCAATTAACATTAAATGTTAATGTTTGCTGGAAGTTATGTGTAAAATACACATTAAGAAGGTGTTCAAAGATACTTATATCTAATCTGTATAAATTGGATTATTAGAGTTCACTTAAGTGTGAACATCATCATTTATGCAGTTTTACAGCCATTGAAGAGTAATAAATAATTGGAGATCTCATCCTTAATAAACTTCCTTTCAAAAACATCTTTAAATGAAAGGAATAGAATGTCATTTCCAATAAAACACACGTTTTCTGCTTAGTTTGAGGTCTCTGTCCATAACCTTGTTGATTGGTGGTAGATCACCTTCCTGTGCTGACAGATGAGGAAGAGACTGGTATTTACTTGATAGTTTCCTAAGGAAATCCCGCAGCATATATTAACATGCACTGGTTTCTGGAGTCTCGGTTTTTTCCATCAATAAGCAGAAGTGGCATTTTCCTGAAGTAGTCAATGATATCTGGCACTGACAAAAAATCCTGAGGGTTTAAAAACAGGGAAGCGTGTTTAGGATTGGAATTAATAGCATGAATTGAGGTAAAATGACTCCTTAGGCTCAGTAAGTAACAGTAATAGGGAACCTTTAACATTTGTGGTAATAATACTAAGAGTCTTCTGTTTAGCATTAAATTCTTAGCAGAGTATCTTGAATAAATCTTATTTTCCCATCAATCTCCAACAAACCACTCATGATATACAAAAAAGAAATTACTTTTGAAACCTGTTTAAAGTTGTTAGTTTCCTTGTTATGCTTCTCTATTATACAGTTATTTATTATTTCTCCTACAATAATAGTATTGTTTTGGGTAAAGATAGATTGACTAGATATTGGGAAATCAGGTTCCTCAGCCTACTGACCATTATCTGGACATATGACATTAAGCAAATTATTTAGCCTATCTGTCTTAGTTTTCTAATCATAGACTGGGGATAGTAATAGCTGTCTTATTACCTCTCTGAACATAGTATTAGGTGAGATTATATATATCAAAGATCTTTGAAACATTTAATGCACTATAAATAGTATAAGGTACTACCATTAGTATAGTTAAATTTATAGTCCCCAAATAATCTTATAAGATTAGTTTTTTAAAAATTTATTTCTTTTATGCGGGACTGGACCTACCTTATACAGCTTCAATAATTTGTATTTATATAGTACTTTGCTATTATAAAGCATTTTTATAATATATTCTTTCATTTCATCCACACAGCAACTCAATGTTAAAGATATATGTGTTATAGTCTCCATTTTTCAGCTAAAAAAATTAAAGCATAGATGTCTGAGTGACATGATGACCAGTATCACAGTACTACTAAGTGACGAAGCCAGGACTTGATTCTTTGCCTTTTGACTCATGTCTATTTTTCCTCCATTATGCCATGCTATTCCTTGAAAAACATTTAGGTTTATCTGCATGGACTCAGATATTTGATCAAATTTTATTTGATGTCCATCTACATGGCAGTTCCAAAAATGCTTCTGGGACAAATTAATAATATTATAGGCATAGCATTCTGAAATACATTCTGAAAGTATTCATCATTCTCAACTTTTGGAATAGATTGTTATGCTTGGGGTGGGGAGAGAGAGAGTAGTTAGATGCTTTCTGTGCAGGGTAAGTCCAATATCTACAAATCCATCAATTCCTTTTCTGGGAATAGCTGATTGACAGAGGCACCAGACAGTTCTAGGTAGAACAAATCAAGTGACTCAGTAGAGAGTTAGAAAGACCTGAGTTCAAATCCAGCCTCAGACTTGTACTACCTCTGTTACACTGGATAAGTCACCCAAGTCTGTGTCCTCATGAGTGAAATAAGAGGGTTTGGACTCTGTGGCTTCTAACCTTCCTTCCAGCTATAATTCCATGGTCTTCTGATAAACGACAAGCCTGGGAACTTTGGCCAGAGGGAAGAATAGGAAAAAAGTTTGACAATCTTAAGATAGTTAAACCCCAAAGTGTTAGGAAAAACAAGCGTTTTCATAACTACCTAATCAGCAATTCTACCATCACACTTATGTGCCCTTCTCCTAACTCTTCTACCAAAGGCTTTTTAATATGGCTTTGGTTTGTTTTTTGTTTTTTTTAGGAAGATCTAAAATCCCAGAAATTTACAGTAGTATAACTATTGATTATAGAGATTGGTTAAAAAACAAAGAATATTTGTGTTTAGTAACCCAATGCCTGGCACATGGTAAGCACTTAATAAATGTTTTATCTAATGTAATATTCGCCTCATAGAATGAATTTCAAAGAATGTATTAAGTATTTTGCATTTCATGATTCCATATCTATTTAATTTTTCAGAAAATTAGTCTGAAAAGGAGAAATCTGAGAAGTTATTTTAAAAAATGTTCATTACCTCTTTCCCTCGAAGCCCAGTTCCCAATAAGTAAACTTGACTTTCCTCATTGTAACGAATCTGAATGTTATACACTTTATTTTTGTACAACACCATGAGTACATATGGGTTGGTAATTGTTTTCTTAGAGCTGTCTCTCACCAGGAAAGTGCCATCCTGAAAGGAAGTGTCAAAAGAAATTTTTATTATGATGTTAGGAATAGGTGTCAGTATTTCTGTAGCACTGATGTCAAGGGGCAAACATCCAGAATTCAGTAGAAGCTGTCAGTTAGAGAATTCACAAGGGAAATTCAGACTCCTGAACTGTAGGCAAAATCTCTACATTTTATGAGTTTCATTATTGGATTCATTTACCCAGTGAAAATATATAGTGCAAACAATTGCAGAGGGAATGGCAAAACCAGCCTCCTTGAAATCTGTTCGACGACAAGGACCCCCTTTTAAAAATATTAAAGATTTAGGTGGGGGATGAAGAGGGAGTAGGAAACTGATATTGATTTCAACCACTGGAAATCATCTGATCTGAATCTAGCATTTTTATGGCATATTTGACTGTGTTTCGGTTTTTGGCAGATGGAAATCTGCATCTATACCCTAGTAGGATTTAAAGAGGATGCTATCTCACAGGGACTCACTTCAGTTGCTTTGACTTGCTGGTGTGAAGAATTGCCTTCTCGTGGGAAAGATTCAAGAAACATGCCATTCATTCAGTAAACATTTATTAAGTACTAACTAGTTGTTTCCAAGCACTGTCCTAGGGGCTGACGATACTAAGATACATCCATGTGTATAGATACATGCATATTTTTATGCATATGTATTTCATGGTCCTTATATCCAATGAAATTATAATCTCTTAAGGGAGCCTACTACCTAATAGTTAATCAATTAAAAAAAATGACACTGTATAGTCATCAGAGTCAAGAATTTGAGTAAGTTCAGGGTTACAGACAGCAGCTTTTTTTTTTCAATGTTCCATAGATCAGATGAGAGCTATTTTTTTGTGAAAAGAAGATATAGAGGAAATGTCATACTTGAGAAGGGAATTGATGCCAGTTGGATTAGTGTATTTATTAGTCTATATCTGTATGACCTCAGTTGCTCATCAAATATAAATAATCAGTTCATTAAATGAAAAATTAATTACTCAGACCAGTAGTTTTAAGTGAATTGACATGGGAGTATTAGATAAACAACAGATTAGAATTATGCTTAATTTTCCATTCATGTATACTCTTTCAAATTGTATCATGGATAAAAGTATGTTCATTGACCCTCTCCCAACCCCATCCCTTGCAAATGTCAACACTGTACCTTGTTTATTTTCCTAAGAGCAGCTTCTGCTTCTGTTCGAGTAATGTATGATACATACCATTCATTATTCAATGAGTTCTGAAAATTTTAAAGAAAAAATTTGAAGATGAATAAACTATGCTAATATTGCTCAGAGTGAAGAATTATAAGTGTTTAAATGGTGATTGGTCCCATACAGCTTTATATATGTGAGTAATCAAAAAAATCCCCATAAATTGAAATGTTTTATTTACAAAATGTGGAATTGTTTCATTTTTAGAAACATAAGGTGAAGCAGTATCATAAGAACTGAGAGTACTAAGATACATACATATATATATATACACACACACATATATATACATATATATATATATATATATATAATGTATATCATGGTCCCTATATCCAAGGAAATTTTAGTCTCTTAGGGAAGCTCTGTTAATAAAATCATGATATTCTATATTTATCAGAGTTTCAAGAATTTGAATAAGTTCAACAGAATGCATTTGTACTAACTTTCACCGTGACTACCATGACAAATATAAATATGAATTAACATTCACTCAATAAAGAACTTTGTTGTTGAGTCATTTTCAGTCATGTCTGACTCTTTGTGACCACTTTTGGGGTTTTCTTGGCAAAGATATTGAAGTGGTTTGCCATTTCCCTTTTCTAGCTCATTTTACAGATGAGGAAACTGAGGCAAATAGGGTTAAATGACTTGCCCAGGGTCACACAGCTAGTAAGTGTCTGAGACCATATCTGAACTCAGATCTTCCTGACTCCAGACCCAGTGCTCTATCAATTGCAACACCTAGCTTCCCAATATAGAACTTATAGGATACTATTATAGACGTATACAATTATGTATGTACAAGTGTGCCAGCAAAGAAGATGATGAAACTAATATAAAGAATTAAGGATTCTGTCCAATACCACAAGCCTTAAAATGTGTAGAAATAGCGAATTATTTTTCTTTTTTTGGAGAGTGGGAACAGGGTTAGGAGCCTGTGTCAGAAGGGCTTTGTATTTACCAAAGTTTGGATGAAACTCAAAGGAGTCCAGATAGAGAAGAATTCATTTTTTCCATTCTGTATCTAGAATGCTTTGTTAATTTTTATTTTGTTTTATAAATTCATCCACAAAATGATTTCAAGGCTGTAGAACACTGGTGCCAAACTCAAATAGAAATGGGGGCTACTAAATTGTATATAAGGATATCTGTGGGCTTGCATTGATTTAGAAGACTGCAAACTAACATTATCTGTTGTTCATTGTTATTATTGTATTGTTATTCATATTGTTAAATATCTCCCCATTTCATTTTACTCTGGTTCTGAAGACACTTGAAAGTGTTGCAGTGGGTGTTTGGCACCTATGTTGTAGAAAATTAAAATGTGTTCAAAAGTAATCATACAAAGAAGGACTTGAGGGTCATTCTACCTACCTCATCATCCCCAAGAGATGGTCGTCGTTGCCTAATTGGAACTGGCAAGGGTCTTCCCTCAGCTGGACCTCTAGAGGGTGGTCTGTTGATAGCACCTTCAAATTATAGATTAAAATTTATCAAGATAGTCTATTCACTATAAAATTTTTAATACTTCTGATAAATCATATTTTATTTTCCCTGAATATCATTTAAACTATTGTGATGAATATTCCAGGTGTCAGTGATAAAAATATTTTCTGTAATTTAGAAATCATAGTATCTGCTCAGATGACATAATTCAATTCTGTTTATCATAGAATGAAGAAAATATAATCTATAATGATCTTCCAGATGTGTATGTTTTAAAGCTACTAGTAATCCAAGCTATTTATCATTTTGATCACATGCAAATGAAGATTTCACTGCATTATTGAGGGGACTGGTCTTTTACATAAAACCTAGTATACTATAGATTTTTAAATGTTACAGTAATAATAACACAGTAATAATACTTATTAAAAGTTATTTTTCATCATTTTATCCAAATAAAAGTTGTTAGCCAAAGCAGCATGGAATTATCTTTGACAGTGTGTTTCAAAGACACTAGTTTTTATTTTGTTTTTTAGTAGCAAGGCTACCATCTCATTCTTTAAATTTATCAGTTAGATATATTAGTAGATAGAACATTGGATCTGGAGTCAGGAAGACCTGGGTTCAAATCCCATCTCAGACACAACTAGCCTTGTGACCTTGGACAAGTCACTTAACTTCTGAATAATAATAGCACCTATCTCTCAGGGTTGTTGGTTGGTTAAAATGAGATGTTTGTAAAGCACTTTGAAAACCTCAAAGTGCTATATAAATGCTATTATTGCAATCATCATTATTATTGTTATTATTGTTGTTGTTACCAGCATTATCAAATGGGTCTATAATGACATGAAACTTTTGACAGCAGAACAAAAATAATATTTGCCTTCCTTTACAAGGTTATTGTGCAGATCAAATGAGATGATACAGGTGTTCCAAAAGTCTTAATGCCACTTTAAACTTTAATAGCTTAAAGTGGGGGCAGAGCTAAGATGGAGTGAAAGCAGTGACTTCCTTTGGCTGTCTCCCAAAGCCCTCCAAATATCTGTAAAAAATGGCTCTAAACAAATTCTAGAGTAGCAGAACCCACAAAAAGACAGAGAGAAACACATTTCCAGCTCAAGATAACTTGGATGGTTGATTAGAAAGGTCTATTGCCCCAGGCTGGGCGAGGAACACAGTTCATTGTGGACGTGCAAGCAAAGACCAGGCCTCAGTGAACCTGTAGCAGCCTTCACAGGACTGAATGACAGGCAGCTGTGGAGATTTCCAGACTTCTCAAACCACAAACACCAAAGACAACTTAAAAGGCCAGTAGGAAAAGTCTGTGACCATGGTGAGAGAGAAGCTCCTTCCTAGCTCCAGTCCTGGTACAGCCCTGGCCCACAGACAGAGGGGGAATCGAATGGCTGATCAGAGCGGTATTGCAGGGATCTCTTTGCTGGTGCTGAGGCAGGATTCTCTTGCTTTGCCCTTGCTTGGATCTGGCTCACAGTTCTGGGTGGCAATCCTGGGGTAAGGAGGAGCACTGGCATGGTGGAACTTGTAGTGGCAGTGGAGAGGGGTGGAGAGGGAATCTTCTTCACAGGTCCAAGGCAGAAAAGAGTGCTTGTGGTCACTCATAGACCAGAGTATAGGCCAGGACAGGAGTAAACACCTCACCCTTGATTGTACCACCTTGGAAGAACTGAAAATTTACAGGTCCCTAGAAGTGTCTCTGAAAACAGATGCACAAAACTCCTGAAGCTTGGGACAGTACATTCTCCACACTGGAAGCAGACCCCTACCATAACAAAGAGTTTAAAACTCAAGTAATTGGTTGGGAACATGAGCAAACTGTGCAAAAAAAGTCAGATCATAGAATCTTTCTTTGGTGACAGAGAAGATCAAAACATACAACCAGAAGAAGACAACAAAGTCAAAGCTCCCACATCCAAAGCCTCTAAGAAAAATATGAATCAGTCTCAGGGCATGGAAGAGCTCAAAAAGGATTTTGAGAAGCAAGTAAGAGAAGTAGAGAAAAAACTGGAAAGAGAGATGAGAGTGATGTAAGAAAATCATGAAAACTAAGTCAACAGCTAGCTAAAGGAGACCCCCAAAATTACTGATGAAAATAACACCTTAAAAATAGCCTAACCCAAATGGCAAAAGAAGTCCAAAAAGCCAATGAAAAGAATGTCTTAGGGGCAGCTAGGTGATGCAGTGCATAGAGCACTGGCCCTGAAGTCAGGAGGACCTGAGTTCAAATCCGGCCTCAGACCAAACACTTGACACTTACTAGCTGTGACCCTGGGCAAGTCACTTAACCCCAATTGCCTAAAAATAAAATTAAAAAAAAAAAAGAATGCCTTAAAAAGCAGAATTGGCCAGATAGAAAAGTAAGTCCAAAAGCTCACTGAAGAAAATACTTCCTTAAAAATTAGAATGGAACAAATGGAAGCTAGTGATTTTATGAGAAATCAAGACTTGTAAAACAAAACCAAAAGAATGAAAAAATAGAAGATAATGTGAAATATCTCATTGGAGAAACAACTGACCTGGAAAGTAGATCCAGGAGAGAGAATTTAAAAATTATTGGACTGTCTGAAAGCCATGATCAAAAAAAGATCCTAGACATCATCTTTCAAGAAATTATCAAGGAAAACTGCCCTGATATTCTAGAACCACAGGGTAAAGTAGAAATTGAAAGAATCCAACAATCACCTCCTGAAAGAGATCCCCAAAGGAAAACTCCTAGGGATATTGTAGCCAAATTCTAGAGTTCCCAGGTCAAGGAGAAAATATTGCAAGCAGCCAGAAAGAAACAATTCAAGTATTGTGGAAACACAATCAGGATAACACAAGATTTAGCAGCTTCTACATTAAGGGATCTGAGGGCTTAGAATATGATATTCCGGAGGTCAAAGGAGATAGGATTACAGCCAAGAATCACCTACCCAGTAAAACTGAGTATAATCCTTCAGGGGGGAAAATGGACATTCATTGAAATAGAGAACTTTCAAGCATTCTTGATGAAAAGATCAGAGCTGAATAGAAAATTTGACTTTCAAATACAAGACTCAAGAGAAGCATGAAGAAGTAAATAGGAAAGAGAAATTATAAGGGACTTATTAAGGTTGAACTGTTTACATTCCTACATGGAAAGATGATATGTGTAACTCATGAGACCTTTGTCAGTACTGGGGTAGTTGGAGGGGAAAAATTATATGTAGATAGATAGATAGATAGATAGATAGATAGATAGATAGATAGATAGATAGATAGATAGATAGATAGATGGCACAGGGTGAGTTGAAAATGAAGGGGTCATATCTGGAGAATAAAATTAAGGGGTGAGAGGATTATACTGGGAGAAGGAGAAAGGGAGAGGTAGAATGGGATAAATTATCTGACATAAAACAGACAAGAAAAGGCTTTTACAGTAGAAGGAAAGTGGAGGAAGGTGAGCAGGAATGCGTGAATCTTATTCTCATTGGATTTGGCTTAAGGAGGGAATACCATACACACTCAATTGGGTATGGAAATCTACCCTACCCTACAGGAAAATGGGGGGGGATAAGAGAGCAGGGGTATGATAGAGGGGAGGGCAGTTGGGGGAGGGGGTAATCAGAAGCAAACACTTCTGAGGAAGGACAGGGTCAAAAGAGAGAATAGAATAAATGGGAGGAGGGATAGGATAAAGGGAAATATAGTTAGTTTTCCACAACATGACTACTATGGAAGTGTTTTGCATGACTACACATGTATAACCTGTACTGAGTTACTTGCCTTCTCAATGAGAGTGGGTAGAGAGGGAGGAAGGGAGAAAATTTGGAACTCAAAGTTTTAAAAACTAATTAAAAATTGTTTTCACATGCAATTGGGAAATACGATATACAGGCAATGGCATATAGAAATCTATCCTGCCCTACAGGAAAATAGAAGGGGAAGGAGATAAGAGAAGGTGTGGGGGAGGGGAAGATAGAAGGGAGGGCAGATTAGGGGAAGGTAATCAGAATGCATGCCTTCTTGGGGTTGGGGAGGGACAAGATAGGGAGAAAATTTGGAACTCAAAATCTTATGGAAGTGAATGTTAAAAACTAAAAATAAATTAATATATTTCAAAAAAGAAAAACAAAAAATATTCCAAAAAAAGTAGCTTAAAATGGCACTAAGACTTTTAGACTATCTTGTATTTAGGAAAATCCTTTATAAATAGCAAAGTGTCATAGAAATGTAAATTTTTTAAACTTTCCTCAATATTATTTTTTAATTCTGATTTTAACATCAATTAAAATGAGCATTTCCATATACAAGATATAACAGAAAGAGATGGCTGTACATGAAATGGCATTCTCTGTCTTCAGGTCTTGAATCTATTATATTCAGCTCACTTTTTTCTGTAGGTATATAATAAATTCAAAATGTTACTTTCAAAGTTGTCCTGCTTGTTAGGCCTTCTTTCTGGCCTTCCTTTTTTCTTTTCTTATCTGTGATTTCAAAAACTCTTCTCTCTTCCTCCTTTGCTCCCTTCTTTCCTTCCTTCTCCTCCTTTCCTTCCCTTCCCTATTCTTTTTTCCCCCTCCAGTATACCAGGTGATGCTTTCCCATCTATATGCCCAGTTCTCAGCACCATGATTTGCACATAAAAAGTACTTAATGCTGTTTCATTCATTTATGAAACAGGAGGAAATTTGGAACAAATGTCCAAGCACGGGTATATTTGTGAGAATTGCCTGTATGGAATGTAAGAGACCAATTCAATAGTGATACTAGTTTCTTCTTAGTGCAGATATAATGGGAGAGGATAATGACATGGATTACCTCAATATGGCAGATACATTTCAGAGAAACTGCATTTTGTGATCTCCCCATTAATATTTAATACATAGGAAATCTCCTATCTACTAATCTAAATCTTACCCATCCTTAAAGAGGGTTTAAGTACTATATTCAAACAGAATTTTAGAATTGTACAGAATTTTAGAGATCATCTACTCCACTCCACTCCATCATTTTACACTAGCAGAAACTGAGTCACAGAGACATTAAGTGTCTTGCCCAGGGTCATTCAGGTAGTAAATAACAGAGTTCAGACTAGAACCCAGATCTTATTACACCAGCCCTATATTTCTCCATTTTTTCCAACTGCTAAAATACAGCCAGTAACTCAGAGACTACTCATTCAATTTAATTACATTCAGAAAACATTGAATGAGAGCAAGGTCCTATGCTAGGTCTTGTTTCTATGGAATACATTATTATCTTGTATTGTTTTCTAGTTATTTCTCATAGGTAAGTATTTACTCCCAACCAAATTATAATATTCTTGAAATTAGTAACTGTTCTTAAAACAATTCAATTTATAAAAAAGTGTATTTTAAAATGTGCACAACTTACAAAATGGGATTATAACAATACTAACTCATTTATAGGGCATTTTCTTCAGTATCCTCTGAAATAGGTAAGGTTTATATTATCCTCACTTTGGAGATGATAAAATAGGTTCAGGTTAAGTAACTTGCCCAAGGTCACACAGCTAGTTAAATGTGAGAGCCTAGATAATAACCCAGCTCTCCTGAATGCTGTTGAGTTCAGTGCTCTTTCCACAACAGCACTCTTGACTTTCAAATAATTGCACGCGTAACTATGAGATAGAATATAAGTGCTATGTAACAGGTGCAAACAGAGGTTCTATTGTTTGCCTAGAACTGTGCTACATATCTTGGAGGCTACAAATGAAAAAGAAACACTTACTCCCCCAATACAAGCGTATTAAGTTTTTACTTTGTTTCCTTCTCCACCCTACCCACCAACTTGTGATTTCATCAGTACAGACAGTTCTCAGTTTTGAACTTCCCTCCAGTAATGAAGATCAGGGATTCCTCAAATTTGTAGTGTTTTAGATTTCCCTTGGCCACTAAGGGTCTAGTGACTTGCCCTGTGTCATAGAGCCAGTTTATACAGCCAGGAGTTGAATCCACGTCATCCTGATTCCAAGGTCCATCCTTTATCCAGTATACTATGTTGATATAGTCATCAGCTATAGAATATTACTTATTATATATAAAATTAGATATTGCACGTATATTTTAAGTATTTAGCACTGTATGTGCTGTTAGTATATCACTTATATTCTCTCATTTCAAATTGCTTTTTTACTTTTGGCAGATGTAACCAGATCTTTTTTTAAAAGGTTATAAAATGCCTACTGATTACATTAATACCAGGTTGGACATTTGAAGCTAAGAATTCATTAAACCTAAACCTTTGTGGATTCATGTATATTTAAATCTGCTGCCTGGTTTTAATAAAACATTATCTTAGCCTGCCAGGGAGCCATTTGTGAAGTCATTTTTAAAAGAAAAATTGGTCTTCCTTCTCGACAAGTTTGCAAAACTATATTAGAGTTTAAAAAAAAAGTCTGCTGTAAGCCCAGAAGTATGCTAGGTGTGGTAGCACCAACAAAAGAAGTTCTAAACCACATACGTACCTTTTGACAAGTATGGCAGCAGTGATGTACTTGTTGGAAAATTACTGTGGAGACAGAATTAGAGGTAAATAAAACAAAGGGGGTGATTGTCAGGGTGAAGGGAGGGGAAACAGTGAAAATTCTGTTTCATTTATATCTGCTTACCCTAAATTCAGGGAACACAGTAAAGAAGGGATGAAGATTATTTGAAATGCTTATTCCAGGGTAGTCCATTCCAGGGTCTTATAAATATTATAATAAAAGCCTGACAAACATTATTGGATGTAATCAGCTACCTCCTGTTGGCATCCTGTGACTTTTTGCCTCTGACTCTGACTTTTTTGTTTTTAGTAGCAGCTAGAAAAGTATTGTTGCTATTCTGACCCTTGACCTACTGAAACCATGATAGGTTGGACAGCAAGTTGCTGTCACATCACTTAATATCTATGGTACTTATTGGTTATCTATTGTATCACATTTTCCCATTTCAAAATGTAAGAGATCTCTCAGCTCCTAGGCCATTAGGTATGTGTGTGTGTGTGTGTGTGTGTGTGTGTGTGTGTGTGTGTGAAGTTTTCAAATGTTGCTAAATTGTTTACCTGCTTTTTTTTTCTTCAAATTACTCACTTTTTTTCCCGTAGGTGTTAATTCTATTGTTAGAGCAATGATAGAGGTCATCAGCATTGCCAAATTGGGAAGCAAAAACAGAGGGTAACACCAGGACTGGCCTGCATTGTGGTCAGGGGTTGTCTTCACTGACCCCAGCTATGACCCATTTTCCCCATTAACCCACCTGACACAACCTCTTGGCCCGGGAAGTTGTGCCCCACCGTGCTCTGGAATAGCAACAGACATCATATTAGCTCAAAACCTGTAAATAGGCAATGATGGAGACGAACCTTGCTGTGATTGGCCCAGGCATACTGTTAGATCCTGATTGGGGAAGTTTGCATGGTGGCTTGATAGATCTTGAAGGGAAAGTGTTGGAAGTGAAAGAGGGAATAGCCGGATGAGGGAGTGGCCTGTGGTGCACTACGGTGAAGAGAAAAGAACAGTTAAGATCGCGATGAGTAAATGTATTAGTGGTAGAATTTAAACACGGCTGGTGTAGAGAGTATGGGAAACACTGCCTCTAATCAGGTGATAGTTCTGAAGATGTGGCCCGTCCTCCAAAAGTCATTTTGACTAGTTCTCCCTCTTGGAATGCCTATGTTACATAATTATAAAGATACAATTTTATCTAAGAGTTAATTTTAAGTTCTCTTGATATGCTTTATGTTATATATCATGTGTTTCTCCTTTGACTTTTGTTATTATTGTTGCTGTTTGGTCATTCATCCTGTGACTCTTCATGATCTCATTTGGGGTTTTCTTGGCAAAGATACTGAAGTGGTTTGCCATTTCCATCTCCAGATCATTTTACAGATGAGGCAACTGAGGCAAACAGGGTTTAGTGACTTGCCCAGCGTCACACATCTAGTAAGTATTTGAGGTCATATTTGAACCCAGATCTTCCTGACTCCAGGCATGGTGCTCTATACACTATGCCTTTTAGCTGCCTCTTTGACTCATTAGGTTGGTAGAAATAACTATCTTATTTTCAGAAATAATTGATTGTTCAAAAACTTGTTATACTTCTCTACTGATTCTATCTTGATTCTTTCCATATATTTTAGATAGCATAAGTGTAGGCATTTGAATTTTTTTTTAACCACCAAGCAGTACATTTGTTTTAACAATTACATTGCAAAATTCAGAAATACAGGAACAGTATCCATAAGCTCAACAATTTTTTTCTTGTTGGCTTAATTAAGGGAGATGGCAGGGTATAATAGAGAGGAAGCCTTGGAATCAGGCAGGCCTGGGTCCACACATACTAGCTATGTAACCATGGGCGAATCATTTAACTTCTTTGCTCCAGGCCAGGACTTCTTAAACTTTTTCCACTTGGGACTCTATCAGTACTTCTTAAAGCCACATGGGGTCGCCACCTGCAATTTAAGAAGCACTGCTCCTAAGCAACTCTCTAAGACTTTAAGTTTATGATGAAGTCTGCATTGGTGGAGAGAATTTCCATAAGGGGATCCCTATGCTGATGAAATTATAGGTTCACCCTCCTTCCCCACCAAAAAAAAATAACAAAATGATTCAGTCTGATTTCATTTTGTATCCATATTTCTATCTAACACGGTGTGGCTATCATCAGGCCTCTGCTTTGCCTGTATGAAATATCATTTGAAGAACCATTTGGAAAGATGAAAGGGAATAATTTAAGTGGGATTTTCTTTACATACCATCATCTTCTTCCTGGAATGGGGAAGAAATAGAATAAGATGTTATTCTTTCAGTGGTATGAAGTTCCCAAGGAATTGCTATCTCTATGGTATTCTATGAGAATCAACCAATCAGTATCACATTAATTCACACTAAATACATTACAAAGAATAGTAGGATTTTCTATAAAGCTTTAGAAAGTGGGACAAGTCAATATCATTATCTTTGTAATATCACATTCATTCTTCTCTAGGCTCCATTTCTGACGCTCTAGACTTCTTTCTTTAATAATGGCAAATAATGACTACCATGTCTAAAGTACCTACTATGTATAAGGCACTGTGTACAACACTTTACAAATACTATCTTATTTGATCCCCACAACAACCCTGGGAGGTAGGTGCTATAATGGTCCCCATTTTACAGTTGAGGCAACTGAGAATAACAGAGGTTAAGTAACCTGCTCAGGGTCACACAGCTAGCAAATATTTAAGGCTGGATTTAAATTCTGGTTCTGACTGATTCCAGACATTATGCTCTATCCACTGTGCCACCTAGATGCCTATTATTATCAGTAATGATAATAATGATGAGTAGTAGTAATATTATTATTTTTATGTTGAAAGGTTTTTAATAAATATTATTGTTCTTCTTGTTAGTAGTTGCTAGGTGGTATAGGGGATAGAAAGCTGGGCCTGGAATCAGGAAGAACCTGAGTTCAGATCCAGCCTCAGATACTCACTAAATATGTGACCCTAGGCAAGTCACTTAACCTCCATTGCCTCAGTTTCCTCAATCATAAAATGGGGACCGTTGTACCTTACCCCCTATGGTTGTTGTGAGAATCAGATGAGATATTTGTAAAGCACAGTGTCTAACACCCAGTCAGTACTTAATAAATGATTGTTTCCTTCCTTGTTATATCTTTAATTGTGTAAGGAGACTAAATTTAGCCTGAGAAAAAGCAGAGTCCAGAAAATAGACAGTAACAGGGTGAAAGTAGTTTTATAGTTTACCCTAGCTATGCTTCATTAAAAATGTAGCTTTGGATAGTTATGTTGATTTTCTTTTTAATGTTATATTGATTTTTAAAAGCAATACTTAAGCTATCATGAATTATCTTGTTTTCTTGCTGAGTATAGATAAGGACTAAGTTAAACCAGCCAACAAAAACACTGTATGTAGTCTTACACTATACCAAGCATTTAAGAAAAGAATTGTCCCAAACATATCAGTGCACCAGGGGAAGGGTGAAGGAAACAAGCATTTATTAAGCACCTACTTACTATGTACTGGGGCAGCTAGATGGCACAGTGGATAGAGTGCTGGACCTGGAGTCAGGAAGACTCCTCTTCCTGAGTTCAAATCCAGCCTCAGACATTACTAGCTGCGTGACCCTTCGGAAGTCATTTAACCCTGTTTTCCTCAGTTCCTCATCTGTAAAATGAGCTGGAGAAGGAAATAGCAAACCACTCTAGTATCTTTGCCCCCCCCCCAAAAAAACCAAATGGGGTCACAAAGGGTCATATACAACTGAAAAAAAGACTCTACAACTACTATGTGCTATGCTAAGTACTTTAGAAATATTATCTCATTTGATCCTCAAAACAACCCTGGGAAGTAGGTGCTATTATATTCCCCATTTTACAATTGAGAAAGGTCAGGAAGGTTACGTTAAAGCAGGCAGAAGTTTAGTAACTTTCCCAGGGTCACACAGCTGGTAAGAATCAGACCAGATTTGAATTCAGGTTTTCCTAACTTAGACCCTGCACTCTATCCATTGTACAACCTAGCTGCCCCTAGATCAAATGTAGTTCTCAGGAAGGAACAAGTAAATAGTTGTAGAATCACAGTGTCCCCTTTGCACATGATAGGGCTCCCTAAAACATAATCTTCCTTTAATCATACCACCACCGTACTTGAGAACACATACCGACTTCATATTTTCCTACCACATTGTTCAAACTTTTTTTGTCTGGATTCACAGTCTGTATCTACCCTTCTCTTATAAATATTTATTAAGTCTTATCTCCACAACCACTGCTCCCACTCCCATGCCACTTAGCATGTTGCTATTGTTTTAAATGTTCCTCAAACACACCATGCTCATTCCTATTTTTGATCATGCTGCCCTTTCAGCCTGTTTTTATTCCTCAGTTCATTTAAATCCTTCCAATCCTTCAAGACTATTGCCACAGCCATCACTAAGTTGGGAAGAATGGGGCTTTGTCTCAAAGCACCAAAATGTAGCATCATGCTAAGATATGCTTTTGTCGCCCCAACCATCTAGTCTTTAGCAACAAAGAAGGTGTGCCAGGTAATGCTTTCATTCCGCCTGGCATACATACCTCTACTTTCCCTCCCACCTGCCTCAGGTTCAAAAATTCCTAATTACTACTCTGCCCATCACCTGGGTAAGGTTTAGGTGATCTCTAAGGTCCTTTCTAGCTCTAACATGACACAATTCTAATTTAATAGCAAGTAAAGATACATTTTGCTGAATAAATAGCTTTTTTTGACCGTTATTCCTATTGGTAGCTAAAGACTACTATTCAAGTACATATTGGTCTCTAACTCTCAAAATGCTTGTATCACAGTTCAGAACTTAATTAAATTAAATCTGGTGATATTCCTTAATTCTTTTAAGTGCATTGGTCTTGTTTCTTCAAATAGATTGTCTGCTACTCTGACAGTTTTGTGATTGTTCAGTCATTTCAGTCGTATCTATCTCTTTATGGTCCCATTTGGGGTTTTCTTGGCAAAGATACTGGAGTGATTTGGCGTTTCCTCATCCAGCTCAATTTACAGATGAGGAACTGGGACAAACAGGGTTAAGTAACTTGTCCTGGGTCTCACAATTAGTAAGTGTGTAAGTAAGGAAGGCCAGATTTGAACTCACAAAGATAAGTTTTACTCCAGGCCTGGCACTCTGTCCACTATGCTGCCACCTAGCTATCCACTTGAGATTAGAAATATTGACTTAATATTCTGTACATGACCCTTCCCCACTACCCAGTATAAATCAAAGCCTGGAGACATAGCAGGCATTGAATAAAACTTGATTGATTAATTAAATTAATTATTCTCTGGATGACCCATAGTATAAGCTGCATATTTGGCATTTTGAGGGGTCAGGAGGGCATAGCAAAGACTTTGAAAATTTGGGCATGTGGCTTAGGATCATGGTGATTCTCCCAACCTGCTTCTGAGAGACTGAGATTGCTCTTGTGTTTTCTAGTATGGATTGATTGCCCTACCCCACCCCCATTTCCTAGTGACTTATGGTAGATTTTACTGCATATCATATTGACAGCAGGTTGTTTTGTACTTACATCGCCTCTTCTGTCAGCTTCCCATCCGTGCCTGAAAATGAATTTGGAAGAATAGAAAGAATTAGTTTCTTTCCCCATGGAAATGGTTGGAATTTGAATGATCAAGTTTCCATTTTGGGATATTTAAGTTTAAATCACCAAGAAGCTAGTCTGTTTGAATTAGTTAATGTGAAACAAAACCACTGGGAGAAGAGGGGATGCAGGGAGTTTGTGTATAAAGAGAGTTGCAGTAATTAATTTCTCTGTCAACATCATGGGCGATAACAAGAAAGTCCTTGTTAGAGCTATCAATGGAAATAATAGTCAAAAAATCTGTTTATTCATCTAATCATAGTTTTTATTGCTATTGAAATAGAATCATATCATGTTGGAGCTGGAAAGGTATCTTAGGGATCATCTAAACCCAACCACCTTATTTTACAGAGGAGAAAAATGAGATAAAGAGACATCAAGTGGGCTGCCCATGGTCATACACTTCATAGTGTTAGAGCTGGAGCTGGAAACCAGGCAATCTGACATTTAAGCCAGGGCACACAAGTAGCACAGAAAAAAAAATATCCCTCAAAACAATTGGATTTAAGATAAACATCCTACTTCCTTGGCAACATTATTAAGTCTCAGACCATGTTCCCTTACACTGTGAAGGGCAGAAATGAGGAAAATGCTGCTGCATAAGGGGATTTTCCAACTGACTTAGCCAGGTTTTCCCAGAGCAACACTGCAGTATTACAGATTTTGCACCAGCTGCCTAAAAGTCATTGCCGACATTTTGGAACATTATCTGCAAAAAACATAGTGATTTTTATTACATTGATTAAGACTGTTTTACTATTTGTCAGGGATTTCTTTTTCACCTTTCTCTGTGGGTTTTGTTTTTTTATCTAGGCTAGGTTATTTTATATTTGACTTTTAGAGTCCAAACATTCCTCAATCCCCAACCTCAAAACCATGCCATTTAATACAAAATGGTTTCCATTATTTTTCTTTTCATGTCATTGGCTGTATGTCAGACATGTTTTTAAAAATTGTCTTCAGTTGTATGACTCATGTTCTATTAGAGAGCTAAACTTACTTTGGTACAGGTGGCTTCTTAAAATTTCTCTCATGTCTTTCTCCAGGTGGCAGAGGAGGCTTTTGTATCTTAGGTAAGTGATCCCCAGGAGTCCTGTGGTATTTAGAGACCAGATGTATTGAAGAAAGTCAACTGAATGCTATAGGTTAGAATTCTACATGTACCATCTTAATCTCCCAAGTACTCCCTTCTCCTTACCTCAGTGCAGGAGCTGAAGGCTGTAAAATACAATGAAAAATGTATAAGAATCTTTGGTATATTCCATTGGATGAATATGCATTGTGCTGTCTTAAGGTAAAGGATGTCTTACCTTATCAGGAAAAGCTGGTTTTTTTCCTGCAGATTACAAATGAAAATTTTTTTCATAGATTGAATTCAATTCACAATTCTTTAACTCTGAGACCTAGAAACAGTCTGATGCAAGGTCAAAAATTTTCAGTCAAATAACACAGTTGCGAAGGTTTCAAGTATGGAAGCATTTTTCTTCAAATTAAGACTATTAGAGCACGTAAGCAAGGTCCTTCAAGACCATCTTGTCTGACCTCTGCATTTTGCGGAAGAGGAAACTGAAATCCAGAGACAAGAACCAATTTGCCCAAAGACACGTATAGTTTTATATGAATGCAAAGAACGTGAGGTTCCCGGATTGCCTAACCATTCATAATTAGAACAGACATTTTCTTTCTTTCTTTTTTTAATCCCTAGTTTATTGACTTGTAGTGCCAAACCCAGAGTCATAAGACCTGAATTTGAATCTTCTGCTTAATATTTGGTTGACCTTGGGCAAGTCACTTAATTTATCTAGGTCTCAGTGGCCTCATCCGTAATATGAAGGGGTTGGAATAAATGACCTGTAAGGTCATTCCCAACTCTATATCTATGACTAGTCTTTTTTTCTTTTTTTGTGTCCATGTCTTCAATAAATCCCTTCATATCTGCAGTTATGAACACTTAGCCCAGTTAAAAAAAAAATGCTTTAGCAGCAGTATCTTCAGTATTCACAGGGTCAGAAGGATACTTCCCCATAAAAATAAAATTCTAAACTTTTTAGTTACCACTTAAAACAGGAAGTGAAGGAGTTTTTCTCTACTGAAAATGAGAGCAACAGAATTTTACTTAAACCTGTGCTCAAAATGTAAAACACAGAAATTAAAGAACTTTCACCGCCCCTCCCCCATTCCAAACCAACAAAAACCCTAGCAATTTTAACCTTAAAAATATAAAAACTACTATCCCCCCTTTTCCCTCCTGTCCTCTTTCCTTACCCCTCAACCTCCCACCCCACCCCCTACAAAAGAAATCAGATTCAGAAAATTAGTTTGATCTCTGCTTCCCAAAGTTCTTGCAAAGAGGGAGGTTTAATTTATGTCACTATAGGCAACAATGTTGATTTTCCCATTGAATAGAAGAATCTTAGGATGTCAGAGCTGGAAAGGCCCTTAGAGATAATCCAGGGTGATCCCTTTGTATTCCAGGAAAGGAAAGTGACGTCTAGACTGAGGGTGTAGCAGCTGTAGGCCCAGGGCCATATAAATCATAAATAAGCAAATGAGGATTCAGGCCTAGGTCCTCTGACTCCCAGTCTAACGTTCCCTTGCACTGTGCTCGCAAGGCAAAAGAAGCTTTTACACTGAGTTAGCCAATAGGATCTTTAATATGGCTTTTGTCCTTGAGCCGACCTTATTTCTGAACCCCTTGCATAGCTCAAACTTGGTTTTCTTTTAGAACAGGAAATTACTTCTCCATTACCTGCATGCTCTCTAAGATGAATGTGGGATTATAAGAATGATGGTTAGGATTAGCATATGAAAAACCATTCAGTGAAATTTCTTTGGCATTTTGTTATTTCGTCTGAAGGCTTCAGCAGCCTTATTCTGATACAATAGAGTCCCAGGGTTTCAGACCCCTGGAAATGGGTCTTTCAAGACCTCAGGGTGATAAGCCATATGCCTAGAGTTTCATTTTCACAGCTTGATTTGTCTTATTGTTCTGTGATTCTTTTTTCTTTTCATAAAATCTATTTTCTAATTTAATTGGGCCTTACTGAGGACACCATACCAAGAATATATAACAAACAAACAAAAACCTACATAGCCTGTACCCTAATGTCTAAATAAGTTTTAATAAAAAATCAGCTGATTTGCCCACATTCTCTGGGCAGCAGCTCATTTTCTAAGATGTTACATTTTGAAGGAGATCTTTGCATTCACAACAATATGTTGGAAAGATTATGCATAAAGCAATGTGAAGAACAGATTAGAGAGGGCATCCACTAGAGGTCAAAAAGGAAGCTGGGAGACTGGGACAAAATAGTCAGGGCAGGAGGCGATGAAGGCCTGAATGAGGTTGGGGGCCATATGAGTGGAGAAGAGGAAAAGATAGTTGCAAGATATTTTGTGGAGATAGAATGAAATGTATTTTGCAAGTAGTTAGATGTAAGGATAGGACAACTAAGTGGTACAATAAATAGAGTGCTGGGCCTGGAGTCAGGAAGACTCATCTTCCTGAGTTCAAATCTAGCCTCAGACATTTACTAGCTGTGTGACCCTGGGCAAGTAATTTAACCCAGTTTGCCTCAGTTTACTTATCTATAAAATGAACTGGAGAAGGAAATGGCAAACCACTCCAGTATCTTTGCCAAGAAAACCTCAAATGGGGTAACAAAGAGTCAGACAAAACTGAAATGACTTAACAATGACAACAACACACTTGGATGATTGAGAGAATGAAGGTGCCATAAACAGAGAAAATTTAGGTGGAGAGAAAGACCTTGGGACTTAGTAAAGTAGGAAAAAGGTGAGGAACTCTGTTTTGGACAAGATGAGTTTGAGGGGCCAGTGAGCCATTTAGTAGTGGAGGCAGTGCTTCTAGAAGAGTGCTAGTTATACGATAGAGAGAACAAAAGCTATTCTTTGAGGGGATAGTAAGGTCAAGGGGAGATTTTTTCCCACCATCAGGGGAAACCTAAGCACTTTTTTGTAAGTTGAGAAAGAAAGAACTAATGGAGAGGGGGATACTGAAGATGCATGAGAGAGGGGATGACTGATGAAGCAATATAAAAGAGGAGACAAGTGGGATGGGAACCAAGAACACAGGTGGAAGAGTTAGCTTTAGCCCTGAGGAAATTCTTACTTTGGGACTGGAGGAAATGTAGAGGACACATGAAGCCCTAAGTTTAGAGGAGTGGAGAAGGGATAGTGGGATTTTGTCAAATAATAGGCAAGGCCATCTGTGAAGCATAGGGATGGCAGTGAAAGTAGAGTTGGAGGCACGATGAGAGAAGAGGTGACAGATAGCCATCTCTGCCATTGTTTTTGACCAGGAAGGATAGAATCATGGAATGGTACACCTGGAAGGGACCTCACAGGTAACTCTTTCATTAAAGCTTTTTTCAGTCCTATATTTTCAACTCCCTGCCATATAGCTCCACCTGAATGAGCTTCAGGTTCCTCAGATTCAGCATGCCTGCATGCCTGAAAACAAATGCATCATCTCAAAATCTTCCCTCTCAACCTAATTATGTTTCTGTAGACGATGCCACTCTTTTTCCTAATAACTTAGGATCCAATAACTTGACGTGTCCCATTGATTCTACTTCTGCCATATCTCATATCCATTCTTTCCTCTCATCTCCCACCATAATCACCATTGTTCATTTGAATCCTATTCAATAAACTTTTTATCAAGCACCTATTATAAGCTAGTCATTGTGCTAGGCACTAGGGACAAAACAAATGGAATCAACGGAACTAGGCTGGTGGTCATATTAATGGAGAGCAGAGAACAGGTGTCAAATGTATTACTGTAAGACACAGCTAGGTGGTACAGTGGATAGAGTGGGAGGTCTGGAGTCAGGAAAACTCATCTTTCTGATTTCAAATCTGGCTTCAGGTACTTATTTGCTATATGGTCTTGAGCAAGTCACTTAACCCTGTTTGCCTCAGTTTCGTCATATGTAAAATGTGATGGAGAGGGAACTGGCAAGCCACTCCAGTATCTTTGCCAAGAAAACCTCAAATGAGGTCACAAAAAGTCAGACACTACTGAAAATGACTGAATAACAACAACATATTACTTTAATAGTTAAGTGATTGTGGTTGTTTTTTTCTTTAACCTTTAGTTTATTCTGTCTCCAATCCATCCTTTACAGAGATTTTTTTTTAATAATCTTCCTAACGAATAGCTCTGATCATGTCATGCCTTTGCTCAGAAGCTTTTAATAGTTCCCCATAACCTAATACATAAAGCATAAACTGATCCTGATCCTCCTGAATTTGGCATTCAAGATTTGCCACAATGTAGCTCCAACCCACCTTTTCTGCCTCATTGCTTACTACTCCCATCTACATCCTTCATAATCAAGTCAGACAGTATTGCTCAGTGACCCCGTTATTATCCTGCCATCTCCAGATTCCATGCCTTTGTTCACATGGCTATAGATGGATACCTCTTTCCATCTCTGGCAAAGTCCCCTCCCTTCCTTCAAGGCTCCATTCAGTTTCTCCCTCCTCCGTCCCGAGTGACTTGCCTATTCCCCAGGTGAAAGCCATGTGTAACTGCCCAGATTTCTCATAGCACTGTGACTGGGCCCGTCCTGTACATGTATACTCTTTTCCCTAGGATAATAGGTATTTGAGTTCCCTACAACAAATCTTTGTATTCTCTAGCACATAAAAAGAGCTAACACTTATATAGGGCTTTAAGGTTTGCAAAATATTTTACGTATAAGGTATTAAGCTCTACTAGTTTATAACTGCTCTAGGACTTTTTGTAATAACTTGTAAATCATTATCATCATCTTAATAGCTAATATTTATTAAGCATCTAGTATGTGCCAGGAACTGTGCTAAGTGCTTTACAATTATTATCTCATTTGATCCTCACAACAACCCTGAGATGTAGCTGCTATTATTACCCCCATTTTACAGATGCAGAAACTAAGGCTGAGAGAGGTTTAGTGACTTGCCCAGGGTCATATAGCTAGTAAGTGTCCGAGGCAGGATTCAAACATAGGTTTTCCAGAGTCCAAGGCTGATATTTTATCTACTCTGCACCTTGCTGCCCAATATGCACTTAGTAACCATTTGTTAAATAAAATGGAATCTAATCCAATCCAGTTTTACAACTGAGGAAACCAAGTCCTTGAAAGATGAGTGACTCTCAGCGTCACTTAGTGGCAGAGATAGGACAAAGACCCCATTTCTCCTGACTTCCAGTCCAAATATGTTTCTACCCTTCCAAATGATTTTTTTTTGCCATGCACATCATTGTTCAGAAATAGAGAAAAGACCAGTACCTATAATACGTGACGTAAACTCACCTATTCCCAAATCTCTTTCAAATTGAGGTAATGTACGATCCAATGGCGGCTTTTTACTCCTGTCTATGGATGGTGCAGGGACTAAAAGCAAATCACAGTCACATAAATGGAAAGATCCAGTCATTGGAAGAGGAGACTAACAGTCTGTAGAAAGATAGAGATTTGTGCTTACAGTTGGGTGCTCGGTGGTTTCTCCCTCTAACAGGCTCTTCGTGACTGGGTTGTGGAAGATGAGGGGGCTGTTCAGAAGAGACACCCTCATTACAAGACAACATTTTAGGGGTGGGGCAGAGGGAGGGGAAGGTTTCATATTGATGTTTAGGTCAAGCCTCAGCAAAACTGTTGACACTGGGTTTGTCTACAACCATCCTAACTTCTCCTTTCTATGCCCCCTTCCCCTATCTCAACAGCTACCTTTCAATCTCCTGCAGCCTTTCTATGATTTTCAGGGATTCCTACCAGTCAATTATGTACCTCAGTAGAAATTTCAGGGATGTGTTCATGAGAATCATAGGATTCTGGAACTTTATAGCTTGCAATAAAGGCACTTAAAGTTAACTAGTCTAAGTCTTCCTTTTTTACAGATGAGAAAAATAAGACCCAGAAAGGGGAAGTGACTTTTTTCCCCAAAAATGCATATATGCATTTTGTGCCTTATCAAATTGAAGAGTGAAGGATTTTATCTTTTGCTAAAAAAGGAATTTCAGGCATCAGCCAGCAAGGGAGGGAGTTGTTTGAAGAATCTAGGGACTTTCCTGGTGTTTTTGAAAGTAGTTCGTACAGGCAGCCCCATATATTGTTACTATGTTAAGCTGGTCCTGTTTATATTTATTTTACAGTAAATTTTCCCATTTATTTTCAATATTGGGAAATTGTAGCCCAGTTCAGAGGACTTGTGCATTACTCAAGGCTAAGGAGATCTTCGGAACAGAATGAAGATGAAGTCAGTTAAAAGCAGAAGAAACCTACTGTGTTGCTTCGGCCACCAATGGCTGGTAGGGGTCTCTGAGGGGGTACTGGAGGCTGCTGAGGGGTTTTCCCAAGTGGCGGTCTGTCTGAAGAGAATGACAACAAAAAAGTTTTAGAGGAGGCACAATGAAGGAAGAGAGGCAGAATATAATAACAACTTCTGGTAATCAGTTCCTTAAAATGAAGGGGAGTCACCCTGAAAGCTCAGTGGGGCTCCTTGTCTTCCATATGCAACTTCTCTTCCTATACTTGAATAATTGGAAGGGACCTTAGGGACCTTAGGGATTTAGAGTCTAGCAAGGAGTAGGAACTAGACCCGTGATGTCATTGTTGTAGGGAGTTCCTAGTAAGTTTCTCTACCAATGCAGATTGACATCTTTTTTGCAATTTGTAGTCAGAGAATTGTGTAGGGGCACTGAGAGATTAAGAAACTTGCCCAGGGTCACACAACCAGTATATGTAAAAGACAGGATTGGAATTCAGATCTTCCTGGCTCCAAGGGCAGAACTCTATCCACTATATCACACTGTCTCTCACAAAGCTGAGGAGCCATGAAATGGTGGAAGGGGAGAGAGCTAGAGAAGGGAAGACAAATGAAAGACCCTGATGAGACACAAATTAGATTAATGGCAAGGCTGCCAGATTTACTTTTTTTTTTGGGGAGGAGAGGGGTTAATGATCCACCTGTATAGAACTCTTGGTGTGGAAACTCCCTCTTCCATTGCAAACTGGCAATCAATCTGTGATTTGTCATTTTAGACAGTTACCTGAAGTACTAAAAGAATACGTGACTCCTCATAGTTACATAGCTAGTGTGTCTCAGAAATTAAGCCAAGTCTTCCTTACTTCAAAGCTGAGTATCTATCCACTACTCTCAATCTACTTTGTCAAGGTATCTCTTCTATAATAATTAAGATTTTAATTGAGATTTTTTAATTCCACCTGCCAGAGTTGAGGAAAAGCAAAGTCTAGGCCCCTTACCTATGTACATGGAGCCTGTAGGAAGCTTGGCAGGAAGGATTGTGTTCTGCATGGTGTCCTCATCATTGGAGGGAGGGGGCTCATAATCAGCATCATCTTCTGGGGCAGGCTCCACCTCCTCACTAGGAGACTCATAATCTCCATCCTGATCTTCATTCGGGCTTTCATAATCATCCTCTTCCTGCCAATATGTGATAATGATGGCAATGAATATTTTACATTTGTATGCTAAGAACCAACCTATGTGTCTACTATCTTATCCTTATAAAATCTTTATGAAAGCAATCTATGTATAAAACCAAAGACTTCCTTGATAGAAACATGAAACAGGACAAGACAGTTTTTCAAAGACAATCTTGTAGAGGTGACCACATTTTCATCATCTTACAATTGACCAAGTAGTAGAGAGAATACAACATCATTTGGTGAATACAAAAAAAAAATCTGACTCAACAGAATGAAATTCATTTTGAAAATTGCTCTTCTGGTTAAGTGTCTCACATGATAAAACAGGGGTTAGAGATAAATAGGTAAGGAGTGAATCACATTTGAACAATTATATAACACTTTTAATGACCCCATCTTTGTAGCACTAATATTGCCTAATGATATTAACAGGGTAAGAATCTTATACCACTAGGATTCCAGAAGAATCAGAATTATGGTTGACCCAAAAGGTATCTCTATATATGATTATAAGCGGTGGCAATAAGCGGGCCTATTAGAAATAATTGTTTATGTAAGAGAAGTGTTGAAAAAAAATTAAAGACAGATACAACCAGAAATGGTTGGGAGCCGGTCATGTGAATGAAGGATAAAATATGGATAACTGAAGTACTACCTGAATATTCACAAATTATTAAAATTGTTAAATACACCCTTTGTGGAGGAACTGTGAGAATATTTAGACAAGAATTGAATAAGATAAAGAGGTATGGATGTGTTGTGATCAGCATTAAATAGAGAAAGCAGCCATATTGAGGATGTCATAAATTAAATGAGTGAAGGAAAAAGATTAAGCATTTACTATGTGCCAGGTATGGTGCTACAAATAGAAAGGCAAGACACTATTTGGCCTCAAGGAGATTATATTTTAATAGGAGAAGACAACACATATAGAGGAATGTCCAGAGTTCTGGAAAATCCCAGGGAGAGTGAGTGAACCCTTAGGGAAATTGACATGCCTTTTCTAGAAACCCTAGTAGAATGGATTTGATTAAGGTTTCCAGAGGAAGAAAGATGAAGCAGGGTATGGATGGGAGGAGGGGGAGATGTGATAGGGCAGATGGCAAGAAGATGGATGAATGTGGAGTATAGTTGGGATTGGCTATATATAATTGGCCATGTGATTTTGGCATTCACTTTGGCTTGGATCCAGAGAAGGTCTCTGAAATATCCCAAATGAATTTATATGAATAAGAAAAAACTTGTGAGACTGAAAGAATAACAACAACAATAATAACCCACATAGCTTCATATCACATTGAAATACTATAGAAATTTAAATTGCATAAAACCGTATCACAAACACCCTGTGATGTCTGGAGAGTATGATCTCTGTGTTTCAGAATCACAGAATGTAAGGATGAAAGGGAGACCAGAGAAACTGGCTAATCCAACCCTGACAGTAACCCAGATATGTGATCACACAACCCCTCTTTGAAGACCCAATTCCTCACCAAGACCCCAGAGAACTGTGCTGAAATGGGGACATGGATAATGTGTTCAGAACACAACTTGTTCAATTTTCCAAGGATATAAAAATTTTCATTTGGAGGAAGAATAGAATGAAGAGTGAGGTGGTGCAGTTGATAGAATGTAGGATTTCGAGTGAGTTTGAATCCCACCTCAGACACTTATTTATTTTGTGAACTTGGACAAGTCACTTAACTTCTCTTAGGCTCAGTATCCTCATCTGTCAAATGGGCATAATAATGGCCTCACAGTGTTGCTGTGAGGATCAAACAAGATAATATATGAAAAACACTTCATAATCCTTGAAAGGCTATATAAATTCTGGCTATTATTATTATTAATAGCAGAGTTGTTACTGTTATTATTATTATCATTATTACTTCCTGAGGCAGCCCATTGCACTCTTGGACAATTTCAGTTTTTAAGAAGTTTTTTACATAGGGCTGAAATCTACTTCAGAACACCTCCCAACCATAATTCCTAGTTAATGCCTCTAGAATCAAGTAAAACAAGCCTTACTCCCTCTTGCACATGATAATCCTTAAAATGTCTGAAGACAGTTATTATATTCCACCTAATTCTTCCATTTCTTCTATTAATTAACAAGCATTTACCAAGTGCCTAGTATGGACCAGGCACTGGGCTAATTGCTGGGAGTTACAAAGACAAAAAATGCCAGTCTTTGCTCTCAAAGAGCTTACTCACTTCTCTTTGATTTTTCAATGCCCTGAAAATCTACTCCAATGAAACTGCTATCTCCTGCGTAACCATCAACTAATGTCTTTTTTCCTCATTCCACACCCTTCTCGACCTCTGCTAAGCTTTTTTTTTTTCTTATGTGAGTGTCAATACTTTATTCTGGTATAAATATTGGAAGCTGGAAAATACACTGTATTTAAATTAGTTCCTTTGGTTTTCCCCTTGATTTATGGAAACCTCCCTCCCCCCAACAGAGCTAATCTGTGCAAACTCAAGTCCTTAAAAACTCTAGCAGCAAAACAAAGCAAAGGAAAAAGAAAACACCAGCTGGGGAGGACTTGGGGATGGACTGTCACTTGGTGTGGACCATTGAGGTTCTGCTAAGCTTTTTATAGTGTTCATCACTCTCCCCTCTTTTGAGTCCCAAGACATTGCTCTGTCTTGGTTTTCCTCCAGTTTATCAGTGTCTTTTGATTCATCATCATTCATTGGCTATGAATTAAGCATGGGTGTCCCCCATTTATCTCTCTCTCTCTCTCTCCCTCTCTCTGTCCCTCTTCCTCTCCCTCTCCCTCTCCCTCTCCCCTCCCCCCTCTTTCTGTATTCTTTCTTGGTGATATCATTAGATTCTTGAGTTCAGTTATTATCTCTATATAGATTACTCCCAAATCTATACATACAGACTGATTCTCTCTCTCTCAAACTCCTGCTATATCCATTGTCAACTGCCTGCTGGATATCTCCAACTGGATGTCACACTAGGATCTCAAACTCAGAATGTTTAAAATGTAATTTGCTATATTCTTCCTTGGGCTCACCCTTCCTCCAGAATTCTTTATTTATATAAAGGAAATGACTATCTTTCCAGTCACTCAGGTCCACAACCTTGGAGGCCTCCTTAACTCCTCCCTCTTTTTTCATCCCCATATGAAATTACTTTCCAGGTCTTTCAATTTTTACCTCCACAACATTTCTCATTTCCATCTCCTCTACATTCACATGACTACTACAATAGTTCACCTCTCATCTGGATTATTGCAATAATCTCCTAATTGGTCTTTTTGCTTCTAATGCCTCCCTTCTTAAATTCATCCTTCATATAGTTACCAAAATACCTGTGTCCTGAGACACAGGCTTGAGTATGCCACTCCCCTGCTCATGCTCAAAAATCTTCAATGGTTCTCTATTATCTAGTATAAAGCACAACATCCTAAGTCAAGCACTTAAATTTTCCACAACCTGGCTCCCATCTACATTTTCAAACATATTTCATATTACTCTTCTCATATTCTATGTACCAGACAAATAGGTCTACCACCTACTGCCCAAACTTGATATTTTCCTATCTGCCTGCCTTTGATCACACTGTCCCCTCTGCCCTTCATGCATTCTCTCTTTATAACTGCCTCTTAGGATCCCTATCATGTCTATATTTATAATAGCTTTTTCTGAAATCATAATGTCCTGTACCTGAAAAAAATCATGTTGCCTTTTTGTGTTCATGACTTCTCTTTTTATACCATCTCTTTAATAATGATTTTAAGGATTTCTAATGATGTGGACTACTCCCTCTACCAACACAGATTAAAACCTTTCTGCTGCTTAGTAAACGGTCTTTGATAGTTTCTATGGATGGAATTCCATTACCCTGTGGCCAGGCTGGTTATGACTTTCTCTGACTTAGCTAGACTGATCCTCAAACGGCAGACAATGGGCCATCACTTGGCACCTACTTTAAGCCTTTCAAGCTTGGTAGGATCTGACAGATCATATTGTCTGATGGAATTGACTGGAGAGCCTGAGGTTGCCTGTATGCCAAGACAAGGCACCAGAAGAGTAATTGAGTGGAGGTGGTTTAATCACATAGACTGGAATTTTGTTAGTTGTCCATGTCTAACTCACACACCTACAGTCTGAAGACTCTGCCATTACAGATAAGGAAATTCCTATCAGAACTATAGATAAAAGACCTACAGATAAGGAAACTGAGAATCAGAAGAATGAAATCACTTTCCTAGGGTATGTCAGAGGACCCTGACAGATCTTCTGATTCTAAGTCCAATACTCTTTCCACTACATTCTACTGGTCCAAGAAGGTGAAAGTATTTTGTTTTTATTGTGCCCATGCCTGTTAGGTTAGAGGCCCCTTATATTGATCTCCATGAATGTATCTTTACAGAAAAAACTAATAAAGTCATACTTCCTGAAGCAATACAAATATTAGATCTATGAATCCAGTGGAAAAAAAAAGTCACACATCTTAGCAATTGTGCATGTGTGCCTTTCATTCAGCTACAGAACATCTCCATTAAAGGAAAATGAGAATGTCCAAACTATTTCAAATGATTTTTGTACATTAGTGTCAAAGGAGATAATGTATGTGACTGGGATTTGAACAGTAGAAAAACTATAAAAATGTAAGGTGTCATAAATAGAAAAGTCATTACTTCAACCTACTTGAATATTGTATCTTTTCTCAAAGATCTCAAATCTCAAAAGCAAGAGAATTTTATTTTCTTTTAATAGAGGAGTAATTCTAACTGGCCACTAGTGGACAGAAGACACTATTGGTTGTCAATTCCAGTTGCTACTGACAAAAAAAAAATCGGCCTAAAGTAACTGGGAATACTAATTCTTTAATGAGATAGTCCTATTGCAATGCCTGGTTTTTAGTTAATATCAAAAGCCAATTCATTTACATTAGAAATGAAAGTTGTAGTAATAGTAGTAGTAGTGGTAGTAGTAGTAATATTAGCAGCAGCAGTAGTACTAGTAGTAGTAGTAGTA